TTTGACCATCTTATTTTCTATTAGCATGAAAGGATGTGCCATTGAAACACCTGACATTTGACTGTTCACTATTTGTTATGTGTGATATGTGTAATTTGCACTCTTAAATCTCTGAGGAAAATTACAGAAAGTTTAACTGAGTGGGGAATGGCAATAAAGAAATGATCATTGCATAGATGGGTAAAAACACACCTGTGTGCAATCAGGGAATACATTGTCACTAGATATGAAATACTGTGAAACTCACTAGCCTTTAGTTTCCCCAAGATTACATGTTTCTTGATGAAGGAACAAATTTGAAATCCAAATAATGTTGTGAAATACCACCATTTACAGCTGAAGTGTCCGGTCTTGGTCCTGGGGGGCTGGTGTGTCTGTAGGTTTTGAAGGTCTCTTTAAAGAAACAGGCCCTGAAACTGTTAAATTGGTGCAGTTATGCCAACCGCCTTAACTAACAGCTGAATCGCAAGCACACAGACACATCAGACTGGACATCAATCCGGTCTTTGACGTCCAGAGTCCTGCTGGTTTAAAGTCTCTTTTAATTAGCAAATGATTAAAACTTTAAAAACCAGGTGATTTGACATCTTAGCAAAATAATGAGTTCAATTAAGCTATTAAGTTTAAGACTCCCCTTGAAAGCCATTTGTACACCAGAGTTGCCTATTCTTAACTTAGAAGCATAATGTTTTGTCCTGGTAGCGCTTTGTGACTTTGTGAAATTGTGACTGTGTGACTTGTAGGATATGTCACAGAAACAGTGTTGATAAAAGGCAATGAGCAATACAAAAGGGGTACAGTGACAGGGAGTGTTACTCACAGTTTAGATCAATTTTCCAAGTACAAATTCTTTACAGTAATTTTTCCTCCCTCGAGATAACTATCCTATACAATCTGACTAAATTGCTGTAACAAAAAGACAGCTTACTCAGTTGGAGTAACTTTCAGAGTATGAATTCCTGTTCGTGCTGAGCTATGTAGCCACTAGACTCACAATCCAGTGCCACTGTGAAAGTAATTTTCTTCCTCTGTAACACTTTTGTAATCGTAGGATAAAAAGACAAAGTTGAAAAACTTTTCCTGTTTCCCATCTCAACCGATTTTCTTAGATTATTTCGGAGGTCAAAAATGGCTTGTCTTACGCTCCTAGGGCTCGGCGAAGATAAATTAAATTATACACAGTTCTTTTATTATCAGATCTTTTGATGGAGACTATATAGAGACAATTGGATTAGAGGCTTCTAGGTACAGTGGATTTTAAAACAGTTGATTGATTTATGTGTCCAAAGCCAGGCTTGGAACACAGCCCAGAGAAAGGAATTGACTTTCATCCTCTCCATTGAGCTGCCAAACACATTAGAAAGGAATCACCATGAGCTTCTAATATTCAGTCACCGAGACTATAGTACCCCTGAAGAAACTCACAACATGGTAAACAAAGCTCTTTTTTTGTCTCCCATTAGACAGATACTGGTCACAGGTTAGGGCTACACATTCGTTTATGTACTTGTTGTATAGTATTACTCTATTAAGAGTAATATTTTTGGTCATGAAACAGTTATTACAAATTGTTAGACATGAGCTCTTGCTAGAATGTAAGGGAAGAAAAAGAGGTGTCACTGATGAATTTGTAATTAGCTGTCTCAATTAGAAACACTTAATCGGTGTTCAAAGTGTTTAGGAGTGCGTGTTATTACGAATTTGACGCTCTTATCCAAAGCGCTTTGCTCAAGGGTACCACAGCCGTATGTCATTCAGGTTTTGAACACACACCCCTCCAGTTCTGAGTGATGAAAGACCTTGTGATGGTACCGTGTTGCGGTGTGTTGGTGCCAAGGCAGTAGAGTGATTTCTGGGAGAAGGATGCGAGTCTGAGATGTGATTGGAGACCGTTTATGGGGCTCGCAGACTGAGACCGTTCCATTTCAATCCCCCCGAATTATACACAGGGTTTAGAACGTTGCTTTTTGTGTTCTTGGTAAGTGTTGGGTACGCAGTCCCAGGAGGGTTACAGTATATAAACTCCCGAGCCAAGGCTTACATAAACTCCCTTTTATCTTTCTCTTATCTTCCCTTCTAATAGCATTTGTGTTGGAGTTTAGCTTTGACCACATTTAAGCTTGTGTGTTATTCTAGAGAAACCACCTCTCTCTCTACCTCCCCTCTCCAGTCCTCAGTTACCTACTGCCCCATGCCCCATATTAAAATACATCTTCACTTTGAGTCTGCAGAAGTAATTGGGGGTGGTCATCTTTCTGCCTCATTGCGATCAGAAATTTGTATTTCTTCATCCATTCATTTTCTAATCGCTTTAGACATCTATGAATTGACTTCATCACTCTGCTCTCCTCCCCACTGAGAGCTGATGTGTGGGGAGCGTACTGGCGCACTATGGCTGCCGTCGCATCATCCAGGTGGGGCTGCACACTGGTGGGGGTGGAGGGGAGTCCCCATTACCTGTAAAGCGCTTTGAGTGGAGTGTCCAGAAAAGGGCTATATAAGTGTAAGCAATTATTATTACAGCAGCCTGAAGCCCATTCTGGAATCACAGGGCACAAGGCGGGATTGATCCTGCACAGGACTCCAGTCCATTACAGGACACACACTACTATCTATTAATATCTTGTACTGAGAGGAATCCAGAAGACAGGGACAGGTGCAGAGCACAGAGCACTAGGAACACGCAGCGATGACGACTACCAACAAACACACACTAAAAAGCTATCACTATAAACAGGGAGTGGGCCCCAGATCCACAGACTAGCTTCTGGTAATACTTACAGGCAATTTTCTGCACCACCTGGGCAGCTGTGGAGAATGAGAAGGGAATGCAAGAAAATAAAATGGAAGCACGAACAGAGGACAGGCAAATTAAAAAAAGACGGCAAAGAGAATGTGCACACCGGAAAAGCATCCAGAAAACCTCTATATAAGTCTAAGAAATCATTATAATTATTATTATTATAATTATAATTATTATTATTATTATTATTCACTGCAGAGAGTGAATAATAATGGTGGGAGAGACGGAGCTTATGCTGGCAAGCAGCTGGTGCAAGTCAAGGCAGGGTACACTCTGAATAGGATGCCAGTCCATTGCAAGGCACAGAGAGGCACTAACGCTGACACGTACACACTCCCTCCTGGGCCAGTTTACCCACCAGCATGTCTTTGACCGGGGGAAGAAACCACACAAGCATGGTGGGGTGACACAGACTCCCCGCAGAGGCACAGCAGGTCCAGAATTGAACCCTTAACCACTGCGCCACTGTTCTGCATGTTAGATATGTTCACGCAGAACAGAAATATGAAATAGAACATTGATTATTTTTACAGAAATAAAAAATATGAAGGAACTATTACCTGGAAGATGACGCTTTAGAAAAGGTGATCAAGATTGACACGGTGATGCTGCTGTATTTTCTCAAGCCAAAAGCACTTCAGCGCCCTCTGGTGGTTCCTAAGCTACGCAATGTCTGTTTCTTCAAAAGATAGTGCAGCCATAGTCATTTCCTAGAGGGACAGCCCACTGCCTTCTGACAGCTTAGAAATTAGCATTTATTACAGTAGTTAGCTGTTGCATTTGATTTTGGTCACATACATATTTATTTTGTATTATGTACTTTTGGTATAAAATATATTATATAGCTATATTTTGGTATCAAACCCAGTTTTGTTTGAGAATCACTGTAGGGGTTTCTACCCTATATTAAGTCAATGCAGGGAAGGGGGAGGGTCAAGTGAAACGTCAGCATTGAAATTCTGCTTATTTTATCTGGGCTCTAAATGGTTTAGACATTCATTAAGATTATTGATACAAAACTAATCCCCACTAGGAGCATTAACAAAGTGGTAAATTACAGGCTTGCGGGGCCGAGCTACTGTATGTAGAGTGTATATACCGAAGAGGTGCGTACCACTTGGATCACCAGAGAATGCCAGATTCCGCATTCCTCACTAAAGGCTTCTGTATGTCAGTTCTGTTTGGTAAAAACATATTTTGAAATATTATAACCCTGCTGTGCACCTTGACATGTGAACCAATATCTAAAAACACATATATAACTGTTAGTAATGTCTTCACAGTTTGATTGGAATAAAGAGCTGTACTGGACTACCCTTCTACCCTAAGATGCTCAGTTTGTCTTTTACTTCACTACACTAAACCAGTACACAAGCTGTGGCTTTGATATATAATTTAACACTTTTCTGATACACAGAAAAATGCCATAAATTTAGGTATTTGTTCCAGTACTGAAATTCGGCGATGATACAGTACCTGAATAATTGTGGTCTCCTAAAATTACAACATTCCAGGAACTAACTGGTCAGTAACAACAAAACCAAAGCTCTAAATCTTAGAATTTCTGAAGCGAGAAAGATGTAGGTACTGTAGCTCAGTTACATTAAAGGAACAAGTAATAGGTTTATTCCATGCTGAAAAAAAAAGAAAGAAAACATTTTGGCCGTGAAGCCTTCATCAGGTGTGAGAGAGACAAGGCAGTAGGCAAAGGCCAAAGGCCTGAACTACTAAGTAACATTAATGTTCTTTGAGGACTGTCGAATAAGACCCGACTTTAATGCATTTATCAGATTTCTGGCCACTAGTGGCCACTGCGGTTCTTCATAAAAATATAATCCATCGATAAGATTCTTCCTCCACAGCACAAGGGAAATCTCCTCTCTGCTGCACTAGGGTTTATTTCTCCCCCAAATAATGAAAATATAAATAGCAAATTTTCACGGCTGGACACGTGTCCAGAAATGTTTTTTTCTTAACTAAAATAAAAGAAATAAAAGTATATTTGTAAAAATTTTGCAAAGAAGTTTGCATTTTTTTGTAAGCAAACATTATTTTTTCAGTGACATTTTAAGCAAAAAAAAACGTTACACAAATTAGGTTTTCAAAAGTCCCCTTTCCCGCTAATTATAGCCATTTCTTTTGAAACTGCTTAGGAACAATGACAAAATACATTAAAGACAAAAGAGGACCGAGGGTGTAGAATATTAGTACCATTTTAGTAATCAAATTAAACAAAACACAAAACCGAATGTGTTTGCAGCACCAGTGCACAGTTTATGACCAAATGATACACATTAAAGCAGCCATGTCATCTGATGTCTGAAGACTTTTTTTATATTGGAAAAGACAAGAGCCAGAACTTAGCAGCAACACCATACACATCTAAACCATACGTGTGCTTTACACCAGTACACAGCCTATGGTGGGACACAAATTTCACCGCTACTGTACATGTAAGCCAAAAAGTGAACAAAACATCACATCAGTGCAGTAATAATAATTCAATTGAAAAAATTCACAGTTGACATTTCAAACTTCCAAACATACTAAAGGGGTTAAAATTGGAGTCAATACATTTTGCTGCATTTTATGACTTATGCCAGGTACAACCTTTTGACCATGTAATATCCATTTAGCTAATATCCATTTAGTACAGGTTTCCTGTGGAACTGATACCGTCTACATTTTATCACTGGGATGATACTGTATATCAGAGGGAACACAAAAACACAGGACTAGAAAAAACATAAAAGGAGTAAGACAATGGAGAAGAACCTGCTGAGGCAGAAATTTTTGAATAAGGTTTTAAAAATCCAGGGCTCAGAAAATGTGTGAAAATTGGTCTGAACCAGCCAAGCATCAATCAGAACCTTTGTAGTTTCTTCTGTACATATGAAATATTGTTCTGTTGCCCCCACTTGCATAGATCTGGGAGCAATGCAGTGATCTCACTCATGCAGCAGTTTAAACAATGTGCTCCAAACTGTGAGTGACCTAAACAAGCCCCCTTTTCCAGCCTCCTCTGACTATCACAGGCCCCTGTCCAGTGACTAAGGAGGGGCTTTGTGATGCATCAGACCTTCCCATTTTACCTCATCTGATCCCAGTGACAGTTCTATCCCACTGCTAAGGACCCTCAGCCATAGCACATGAGTGAGATCACACAGGCCATGTCCACATGAGGCTTTTCTAATAGTAGACAAGTGCATTTTCAAGGGCTTCATGCTTAAATACGATCTATAATCTGGGTTAGAGACTGAATATGAACTTTTCCCCAGGGGCATTTAAGGACTCAAAGTGTATTCTGAACCTCCAAAGGAACAAATAAAAGTTAAGTCCACACTGGAAAGTAGAAAAGCAGAAAGGAAAAAAAAAACAAACACCATTTTGGCTGTTGAACCTTCTTCATACCTGAAGAAGGTGTACTTCATACCTGAAGAAGGTGTTCTTCATACCTGAAGAAGGTGTACTTTCAGTGTGGAATTAACCTTTCTGCTCATGTTTGAATCCTTGGATCCTTACCCTGCCAAAAATACCACTGTACTTTCTTTTTGGTGTTGCACAGCTCAGCTTAACAAAGTTTTTTTTTCTGGTAAATTAAATCTAAACGTTTTTCTCACACAGTATATCTTATCTCAGCATCTAATATTTTTTTCAACAGACTGTTATGTCTCTCCACAGCAAATTCAAGTGGTTTATTGCTAAGGGTTTGCAGGTCTTAAATATAGTTATGCTAATACAGAACAGGGTGAGAGATTCAGACCCATAAAACTCATAAAGACATAAGAATGACTACAAACAAGAGGAGGCCATTTGGTGCATCTATCTCTGAAGATCCCCCCCATCTGCTTTTTTGAGAAAAGGCATGGTTTTATAACAACATGGCTGGGCAGTGAGTTCCAAACTCCCACAATGCTTTGTATAAGGAAGTGTCTCATGTTGTCCATGAAGCCAATCCTACATGCTGGATATTTACATGCCAAGCTACGTGGGAGCCATAACTGCATTTTTAACCCCTGTACTGAGGACAAAAAGTGGAAACAGAGAAGGTGAAGTAAGGGCATAAAAGACCACGATCACATAGGCACTTAAAAAAATACACACACAGCACAAACTGAGTAAGGCACAGGTCAAATACAGACATCACTCACAACATGTCTTTGGAACAGTGACAGAATCCATTTAGATTTCAGACATACACATTTTTAACAGTTTATTTCCCCCTGTATGGTCTTCATCTTCCTATTGCACCTACAACAGCTATCCAAGCTCTTTTGTCTTAAGACTATATCACATAAAATGACAGAAAGTCTGTGCAAATTTCTGTGAAATACAAACCATTCTACTCTCTAAGACTAGTTCTATTTAAACTGGCTTCGCGAAATGTCTGGAGGTACATGTTCTAGTGAGCTTAGGTTTTCAGTGTATAGAGTTAATGTTTTATTTTGAAGTTGAAATTAAAAACATACATGTTTAGCAATGTTTTATGATATATAACTTGTAGCCAAATAGAAAATCCTTTAATGAATGAAAGCATATACGAGCAAAGTGTCATAATAACTAACAGAGCTGAACACAAGAAAAAAAGATTCTTCCTTCAATCTATCAAGAAACAAAAAATAAAATTAAGATATAATTCTAGTTACTAGCTGGACACAATCCTTTGGAAGAATTTCAGATTCATGAGCCACAAGTAAATAATTCTCTTAACATTTTCTGCAATAATAAAATCAAAAAGTATCTTTTGATAGTGGTTTTTTAAAATGGTTGCAAACTAGCAAAAGTTAGAGCCCAAAAAGAAACAATGAAATTTAAATAAAAACCTTTCTAATCTGATATTTGGGTCACATTTCATTCTCACTTCTGCGAACATTTGTTCCTAAAAGAAAAAGAAATAGCACAGCAAATCTTTGTACTGCTGAACTAAACCAGACATCAAACAATTACTATCGCTGCAGGTTGTGAGGTTTTACAAAACGTTTACACTAGGGGGCGTGATAAAATCAGAACTCTACATCCACCTTGCAAATTCTGGTCCCAATGCTTACATCTTTCCAGGCCATAGAGATGAAAGGCATCTGGGAGACAGAAAGCCATTGATAAGTTACACATTTGGAATATATAGTCAACTGATGGACTGAAGTTTAAAAGTTTTATTCCAGGCCTAGTTTCAGGCCATTTAGTGCAAGAACAAAAATCCTTCTGACTGAGGCAATGTACAGTAAGTGGAACACTTTTGCAGGCTAAATCTTTCCTCAGCTGTTTACCTGTCTTATTTATTTTAACATAAAGTACATACGCATTTTTTTTTTTAAAGTGACACTGACAAAACTGTTGTAGGACATGGCTTTAACAAAAATTGGATCTTCTACTAACACCAGAATTGTTTTGCCCTCTTGTGACATCCTGTCTTTAAAATGCTCTTAAACACCTCACACCCACAAGTTTTAAGAGTTCATTTTCCCAAGAAACATACACATTTGCAATACATTGACCACAATAACTTTGTCTGATGAATACATTCATTTTGGTTTAACTGACTTTACAATAATAACGGCTAAAGAAACAGAGTAGTTCAGCTGGGTGTGTATTAATAACATCTCACTTGGTACAGCTCAGCGAGATAGTGGAAAGATATTGGATTCTGATCCATTCCATTATATTCTGATCCAATTTTCTTATAATAGCCATCCACATTCATAGAAGTAAAAGTTACTCAGCTATATTTCAATAAGGAATTCAGTCGTCTAATATAATGACCGTTCTGTTGTGATACCCTGTAATGTAACTGTGATATTGTTTACACTGTAAGGAAGTAAAGCAACTAAAATTCCAGGGACTACAGTATGAAGTGTCAATAATGTGACATTACTAAATTGAAATCCTCATATGAGTATGTTACTTTTTGGGTGGTAAATGTGTCTGGTCCTATAAAATCTTTTTACAGTTTTTGATGAACACGAGTGAAATTATGAGCTCAATTGCTTTGGCCCGTTTTCATTCTCACAGGAACTTGCTCTCTGTGACCTCTCCACAGCTTAGACCCGACTTTTGGCATCTTCTTAATGTAATAAAAAACACTCTATCAAAAAGAATTTTCTTAACTAATACGTCAATAGTAAAACATCTGCAAACAAATTAAAAGCGAATCAGCACCAATTTGTACAACAGAAAAGCTCAAATACCAAATCCTCTAGGTATATTAGTGTTACGGATTCAAAAAGAAAGGTAAAGAGAAGTTATGATTGTATGACTGTATTAGAAAGCTGAAAACCCTCTCTCCTTACTGCTACACCTACAGATTCATGTATGAGTTACCAGGACAAAGAGAAAGGAGACGCATCCCAGTACAAGGCCTATGATCAAAGACGTAGGTGACAAGATGCTGGATGGCTTAGCTCTTGACCAGAAGGCCCTTCTTGTAGGCCAAGAGACCTGTGGCGGCAGCAGCAGTCAAGAACGTTGACCAACCCAGGAGCTTTAAGAACCCTGGGACAGAGGGCAAGTTCCTTTCCCAAAATGTTGTGACAAAAGGTCGAGCTGGAACATCCTGAAAACAAGAAAAACAACATATTCAACAATTCTCCCACACAACTTCGTGCAGCTAAGGCTGTAGTTTACAGTCAGCTGTAAACAGGAAACCCTGACAGATGTACTAAGAGAAGAGACAGACACCAGGGGAAGGGAGCCCAATGTTTTGCTGTCACACAGCCCTCGATGTTTCTGAATCACAGCAGGAGCTCTTGAAAGGCTTTCAGCTCACCACGTGGGGTTGGGCTGAGAAGAGACACACTTGCAGTCCTCTTGCAGTTTCATTCCAACTGGACATATGTTTTAATTTTGAATCGCATACCCTCACAGATAGGATAATGTAACTGCATGAACCAAGATTTTCTGCTGCTTCCTCCAGATAAGGAGGATACTGACATCCAAAACACGTAAAACAAACACAAGTTTTTCATACTCCCCGCTTTCCACTTTCCCACTTCCACAGCCTTTCCTAGGTGGAGTAAACTACCCCAGAAATCAGAACTGCCCCATCTATCTTTCATTATTTCCAGTTTCCTGGAAGAACAGTTCAGAGATTCACCCCACTTTTATCCCAGCAATGGATAAGGTTAGTGACTCCTGAAGCACCACTTTCTACACAGACTTACCACAGATTCAGGTTCTGGCTTCCAGATTTCGTGCTCAGAGATTTTGCCCATTTTACAGAGAATCTAAAAGACAAAAAAAAAACAATTGTGTAAAGAAACATTAGAGCAGTCAGAGGTTGTGTGAATCTTGCAATGAAGACATCAGTACCCCACATCGTTCAGGGAAATGTGCTATGAAGTAATCAGTTCACTTTCAAACAAGGGGAAATTGTTATTTTAAAATACCGACACCAGTCATTACCAGGATTTTCTGCTTGAGTCAGAAGAAGAATCAAAAGGAACCCAGTCCTGGTCCTGGCGACTAACACATCAACTGGTTTTTGTTTCAGCCCAGCTCCCAGTTACACAATCAAACCCTTAATTGACTCGAGAACAGAATTAATAGAAATAAATTCAGCTTCCAGCTCCTACACCTGCTGCAGATTGAAGTTTTAACTATCGCACTTCATCAGTAAAGTAAAATGTCCAACTTTTGAGAAGAAGACACAAACTTGCACATATTCCAATCAAGCAACTCAATTGCTCAATTCAAGCTTCAGTTAGAGGTCATTAAGCTCGAGTGGAATGAAAACCTGGAACACCGGACACGCTGGGATGAGAACCATTCAGCTGGGATGAAAACCAGGGCGTGCAGATCCAGGACTGGGAGCCCCTGCCGCATCAGATACTAGACCGTCTCACCTCCCTGGCAGCTCTTTCCCCAGCCTGCACCGCCCCCTCCATGTAGCCACTCCACTCGGTGGCCGTCTCCGTGCCAGCGAAGAACAGCTTGCCTACGGGCTCCCTCAGAACCCTGCGGGACAAATAGACTGTCTGCCACCGGACAGGACACTCCCGAACCAGGGCAGCCACGACAACACAGACCACCCACCAGGTTTAGTGTTATAACATCCCATTGGGGGTTTTTGATTTGGGAAGCAATTTCAAGGGATGGATGTGTGTCACTCTTACATGCTCTGGAGAAGTGTGTCTAACTCTTACAGTAACAGTTTTTCCTGATCCTGTCTGGATTCGATTACGGTCCCTCAGGGACGATAAGCCCTCACAGCGACACTGCCTAGTAACTCAGGCCCGCTAACTGTCCGCCGCGGCAGAGTTTTAACTGTCCAGATATCACAGGGGGTGACGTCACTTCAGTCACTGGCTCAGCTCAGTGTCATCGCTGACATGGTGCGTCTGGGTCTTGAAGCGCTACTGAAGGAACTGTCAGAAAAACTACATTTTTGCACCAAGCATCAACCACAAGGAAGGTTATCTGTGTCAAGAGAATGAAGCAGACGTGTTAATGATTAAGGGAAGCAAAATATTCCACACCCATGAACTTCAATATGGCCCAGCATCACAGAGCCTCTTGCTCTAGATCACACGCGTACGGTTCCCCATGAAACAATCCTCTCTTTCTCGGTGTATCCAGTAGCGAATGTACTGTACAGAGTGTGTAATCCAGTCAGAATTAACAGTGAAACATGAGGAACAGGTGGAAACAACTCCTTTAATGAAATGGTTGGTGTGGATCCTTAGATCAATTAGCCTAACTACCTAACAACCAAACATGCCTCTTCTCATCTGTAAGCTTCCTTGTAGTCTTATACAGGTATATAAACTGTCTGCTGTAAAAATAAAAAAATACATTTTTTCATAAAATGGCAACCAAAATTGTACACAATATTTCAGTCTTAACAGTGCATAATGAAATTGTAGCCTAAAAAGCAATTGTTACCTCAGCACAAATTCTGCCATACATAACTTTTAATACAAGACTAAATGTGTAAAGAACTATGTGGTGCAAGCTCATCTGTCCATTTTCTAACCAATGTCTTATAACTCAGGGTGGCTAGGGAACTGATGCCTGTCCCAGCAAGCAAGGGGTTAATTTCAATGTAGAATTTAGCTATAATACTTTAATGAAATTAGCATGTTACCATAAGATCCTTAAAGAGGACCCATTACATGTTGTACTGTAGATTAAATGTTATTAAAAGCATCTCAAAAGACACCATCCCCCAGATAATGTAAATCCAGGAAATGTACTGTATCCTTCTGTCTCAAGGTGAGAGGATATAAACAGCCATAGTTCTGCTCTTTGTGGAGTCACTTACTTGCCGAACTGCGTGAGGATTCCCGGAGGGAAGTAGACTGTGTAGCAGCCACCCGAATATTCCTCTTCAGCCCAGTTCTTCTCCTCGTAATGGACCGGCTGAGGAACAGAGGCCAGGGGGAAACAGGCAGGGTGGATGGAGAAAGATTCAGAGATGAATTAAGAGGGGGGTAATGCACTCTTTGCATTCCTGGCAAAGAGACATAACTAAAAGAATGACTGACCACAGCCACTAAAGTTAATAAACGTCTTCAAAACCTCCAACCCCCTAGAACCAATTTGTGGAGAAATAGAGTCAGTTTTTAGACTTACAACCCCCCTGAGTATAAAAACAGGCCTTGGTTTGGTGGTCCTAGCATTTCCCTCTACTTAAAATTCACCTCGCAGATTCCAGTTTATGTTTTTCTACTGAAGACCTCTGCGTTTGTTTTTGGAACCAGTCGTCAATAACGTTCACGGTCACGTGGGATGGCAAGCACTGAGTTTTACTTACAGCTAATTTTTGAATGGCTAAGGAAAGGAGTTCATACAAAGTTCAAAGCAGCAGATTGTCAAAACACATTAATAAATGAGATGGTTATAAAGTTAGTTGGTCTGCTACCTAAACAGCTGTGTATTAAAACTATGCACCAGGGAGAAATGTCCTGTGGCATACGCGTAAATGTAACCAGAGCAGTGGCCAGCACACACAGGACTACACTTGTGGACACTAACAGCCTTGCTGTTCACGTGGTTTTATACACACTGTGCTCCCTCTGGTGGACACCGATGACCCTGGCGGCCATGGGTGTGTACGGTCGCTGTCCATGGGTACTTGTTCATGCAACCACATCCGCTCACTGCTCCTCAGCACACGGTTTTCACAAGACAGCTAGCTGAGAGGGCAAGCTGACTTGTCCACCTTCCCAGCAGAAAAGCTCTTGCTGTAGACCAGTAATCAGGAACACTTACATGCAGCGCTTCTTCACTGCCAAGGACTTTGGCGTATATCTCACAGATCTTCTT